AGGCTCTCGTGGGCCACCACGGGGTAAGCTTTCACCACTCATAACTACAGCAATATTGGGGGGGGGGAGACCCTGTAGGCTGGTGGTTTCACTAGTGCTGCATTACGTATGAGTTTCCAGTAACCATTCTAACTAGGTCGTATGCAAAAAACGCCTTGCTTGGAGGAACGAATACTCCACAATAAACTGCGAGAAAATGGTTTTTGTGGGATTAGTTTTTATTTGCGGTTTTACTTATTGTAAAAACACGTTTTGTGCAATGCGGAATATGTTACGGGGATTTATGTATGCAATTTTTGATGAGCGAGCGAGAGAGACACGGAGAGGGACATGGAGAAAGTGTTAAGCCATGACAGGGACAGAGAGAGAGAGAGAGAGAGAGAGAGAGAGAGAGAGAGAGGGAGAGAGGTGTGTGATGGTGTGTGTGTGCTGGTGCATGTGTGTGTGTTGTGTTGTGTGTGTGAGAGCAGGAGACGTGAGAGAGAGATGAGCGAGCGAGAGGAGAGGAGAGAGGGGAGAGCAGGGGTGTGGTAAGTTGTGTATATGGTTTATTGCTGCAGCCCTTGATTTATTGCCAAAGCATCGTTCTCATATGGTCTTCCTTACGAGTTTCCAACCCGCGCTATGCGTTGACCTGACTGTTTATGTTAAAAGCAGCAATTCGTGATGCCGCTGACCGTGCTGTGTTGTGCAGGTGTGTCGCGTTAGTAGCAATTTGGCTCGGACGTAGATTTAGTTCTTCCTCAGGACTAGCTTTGCGCAGGTCGTTGTGTGTGTGTGTGTCTGACGGCACGATGCAAAACAATGAATGTTGATCTGTATGTTTGAATTCTTCCCGCGTTGGTGGCGGCCATTATTTCCCTATCGACGGTGTGTTATATTTTATTATACTTACGTGTGTCCATACTGAATAGGTGCCAGCGATTGCGCGCTGTATGAAAACACGTGCGTGTGTAGATTGAATCGATTGAACTGGTCAACGACTATAACGAGCTGTTACTTAGGGAATTCTCGTTATTTTTTTGCCACGGTGCGTTTTTTCGTACGAAATGCACCGGATATGTTACATTTTTTTTTTCGCAGTAGTGCTCGCGGCGAGCGACAACCGCTTGTATTCGCTGTCATCTAGCCGTTTACTCGATGCATACTGCAGCCATGCCATTATTTTGAGTTTTTCGCGATGCTTTGGTTGCCGAACCTAATTTAGAGTCGCATTGCGATGACCCTCCCTGCGGGGGACGGTCGGTCAAAGCACGTGAATGTTAGAGAGTGCGGGTGCTGCCCTTCAGAAGGTGACCTTTCGTGCACTGCTGGTCTACGGTGGATTTGTGTGCACCCGTCCTCGCCATGTCGCGGACTTCTCATTTTTCGTTTGCATTTACGCGATCGCGAATAGCTGCTTAAGGTAGAGTGCACGCCGCGACGCTCATCTCTGTTAGGACTCGTATCGGATCGTGTGTGCTCAGGTGTCAGATAGTTTCGTCTCCGTAGCGATTCTAATTTACTAGCTTATTGTAATTCGTCGTATTCTCTTCCGTCGTCCGACCCTTTCCATGGCTGATACGCAATGGCGGTGGCATTTACCTAATCGGCTAGGTACACGTCGGAGCGATAGTTCTGCGACGGGCGTAGTATATCTGGACGATACCGCGGCTCGCGTTGATTGACCGTTACGTGCTTTGGGTGTTATGGCGTGTACGTGCAGTTTATTTTTTGGTATTATTATTTTGTATGTTTCCTAGAGGTTGTATGTTGATGCAGTTACAGATCACGCATCTAGCAGTTGCGTTAGACATCAGCACGGCAGATGGTTTTGCTAACTGACTGTATACCACATGGTTTTTGAATCACTTTTTATGAAACATTAAACCATAGATTTTTTCGAACTTTATGCTTACTCGCTAATTTTGAAAGATTGCATCAAGGTGTACGATTTAATTTGATTTTGATCTTTCATTTTGGAGTTGAATAATATTTTTTAAATCGTGCAGCGTCAAATAATTATGCCGGTAAATTCACTCGTTTTACAAGCTTTTGCATTCATTATGCGGGCTTATTCAAGTCTTTACGTCAGATCTCAACATTGTACCGCTTGGGAAGATGTCATGTACAGATTTATTTCGTAGTACATCGAACCAATCGGACATGCTTCCCCGGCCATGCCCAATGTACTGAAACTGAACACTAAAGCTGTTATGGTGTAGAACTATAGTAACTAGGTTGCGTCTTGTCTGAGTGGATGCGTACAGAGTTGACTAGTGCATCCAGTGTATCGATTAACCCCCCTAGCTGTATACATACTGAAGGCGAACGTGTCGCAAGATCGAGACATCAACATGTGGAATATTTACCAATATAGCGGTGTACGCGAACTCCTACCTATTATTACTGTTACAGTATATTCATGGTATCGCCATGTTGTCTATGTATCAATTATGCGATGACATGTACGTACCGTGAATGTACTGATATTGAACACATATTCTACGTATATATATCCATTTAGTACGGATATCTGCATAGCATACAGATGGTCATGACAACAAACATTGCTTCTTCCGTATATGCTGAGCGGTCTTACTTTCCGTGTATGTTCCCAAGACAGCACCATTGTCCTTCCTCTGCCTCCTCCTCCTCCTCCTCCCTCCTCTCTCTCTCTCTCTCCTCCTCCTCTCTCTCTCTCTCTCTCTCCCTCTCTCTCTCTCTCACGTACCTGGGACTTGTTAGGCTCGGTATGGGCTTCCAGCACCTCTCGTCCGGATCGTACACCTCCGCGCTGTCATGAATGAGAGAGTTGCTCTCCCCGCCGACGGCGTAGATCCTTCCCGCCAGGGCGGCGACACCAATACCGCTACGGGCGTACCTGAGCGGCGGCAGCAGAGTCCACGTCTGCTTGAACGAGTCGAACATCTCCATGTTGCCGAGAGTGATGTTGTCACTCCACTTGGCATCCTGCAGACGGGAGTAACCACCTGGAGAAAGAGAGAAAGGTACGGTTAGAAAGAGAGAGAGAGAGGGGGGGGGAGGCCAGGGAGAGAGAGAGAGGAGGGAGGCCAGGGAGAGGGAGAGAGAGGTACAATGAGAGAGACGGAGAGTGAGTGAGGTACAATGAGAGAGACAGAGAGTGAGAGAGGTATGATGAGGGAGAGTAAGAGAGAGGGAGCGGAAGAAGAGGGGGGAGAGAAAGAGAGAGAGAGTGAGAGCGAGAGAGAGGACGGAGGAGAAAGAAAGAGAGCGACAGAGCGAGCTATAGCTATGCAGCAATGGTGACTGGTATGTAAGTCCTACTGCGGCTACTGCTGCTGCTGCTGCGGCTACTGCTGCTACTGCTGCTGCTGCTGCTGCTGCTGCTGCTGCGGCTACTGCTGCTGCTGCTGCTGCTGCTACTGCTAGGATGATAAATACCCTCTTGTGACACGTACCGATCACATAAATGTTTTTCTTGGCGCACTGTCTCGGCTGCCAGTTTATCACATTGATCTTTCCCATCCTTGCATCTCGAGCCAAAGAGAAGTCGGACTTGTAATCCTGTAACATTTAGTCCATTAATCCTGTCACATACTTGCAATTTTGTGCTCTATGGATGATGTATTCATTTTCACTCATAGTACATATAAACTGTGTACTAATGGCATACCTGTAGAATTTTTCTCAGCCCTATCTTTAGCCCGAGATCTTTCAATCCTTCAACGTATCTTTCCAGCTGCTGCTGTGATATTATTGGCAAGCGAATGCACTTCACCAGACTGAATATGTGACGCCGCCTGGTCTGCAGATCGTGCGATATCCAATCAATGGCTGCTTTCAGAACCTAAGGTTATGTAGACACTCTCTTCAGTTCATTTTGTATGTGATCGTACAACAACAAAAAACAATATACCAAAGAAAACTGATAGGAGGGCAACACACAGGAAAATATCCAAATTACTTGACACACATATTTACATCAGTATATAATGAGTACATAAATTATTATGTCCCCATTATATGTTTGATGGGGTTAGAAATCAATATACAGTCTGCTGACGTTACAATCGATACCTGGAATTCATTATCGATCCGTAGTTTTTCGCTTAGCAGGAGTTCTCCTAGATCTTCGTGGGACAGACTGAAGAACTCTTCTTCACCCAGAACGTCGAGGAAATGGCTGAAGATGAATGCCTCAGCATCTCTCTTCAAGCTGTTACAGTAGTGAGCATCGGCAAATAGATACACGCCTGCAGAGCAAACATCAAACTTTCAAATCGCTTCTTCCTGGATAAAATCCTTTACATTTTTTTGCAAACATGACAGACAGTAATTATCATAGGCCTCATTATCATAATAACATCATTATCACAGCCCTTATTATCACAGTTATCTTATCATAAGCCCTATTATGATAAGCCCATTCAGGTGCGTACCAGCCTAAAAAATACTTTTTTTATTACGAGCAGCGTCGTTTTGATTTTGTATGAAAAAAGAGCCTCTGTAATTTTGTTTACGGGGACTATTTGAGGGCTTGCGCCAGAGCTACTTTTCATAGATGATTTTTTGTTAAAATTTTCATTTTTGATGCACCTGAATCTAATAATCGTCTCAGAGCCAGAAATTGGTCTAATATCGTAAAAGGTGTTTTTCCCAAACAAAGTCAAGATATGCTTTGGCAAATCCGAGACGAGGTCTACAAATTATTCCTAACGGTGACAAAATCATGGAGGCCAGGTTTACCATGTTGCTGATGCATGTTGTGTACACCTAGTAATGACTGCATGGCACTGATGGTCTCTTCGCAGTTGTTTTTTAATTCAAAAATCTCGTTATTCTAGTGCCATATCATAAAAAAAAACTTGCTTGCCCAGAGACAGGAATGCAATTCAAGCTAACGCCCCGTGAGAATTTGGTTGCCCCGCGCCCATCGGGCCATCGGCAAGCGGTGGTTGTGTCGCAGCCGCCGCAGGCTACCGGGCAGGTTCGAATTCGGCCTGAAAATCTAGTGGACCCAGCTAGGCACACCCCAACCCGCCAGCCAAAACCCTACTCTCCGCGCTGCGCACACGCACACCCACACACTTTGGTGTCAGCTTATTTTACACGTGAGTGACAAAATAGTATAAAAAGATAACCATTTGAATTAAAACAGCATACGCATGGGAACAAATTTGACAAATTAACAACATTTACAAATAGTGTCCTTCATTAACTCTTGATGTAACTTAATTAAGAGTTGGTCAAATAACTGGTTCAATTCTAGAATGTCCAGGGGGCAGTCTCTGGTAAGGTCTTTACCTTTCGTTTTCTCTTTGCCCCAGTCCACGACCCGCAGGCCCATGCATATATGGTATGATCTGGCCGCCGCACATGCCACAAAGTTTACAAAGTGGTCAGATCTTCAGTAATAGTACAGTGTTACAATTCTTCTTAAGATTATCTCGCTGAGATAAAACAGTCCACTTTTCTAGCGTGACGAATTCAGAAAACAGCTTTGATTACGTGCGTGTCATGTCACTGATCGTCCGCGCAACTCGCACAATCAACCCCTGCGAATATATATAAACTTATTGTTACGCGATTTACAAAAACATTGATCTTCTTAGACTGTCGCGAGTTTTTAGTTCGTGGTGGCGAATTCATGCTTGAGGAGTTATGCAGGCTCTCGTGTTTTTGGATCACCCTAAGCTTCTTACGTTTGAACGGAACGGGTCGTAACGCTGCTGGCGCACGGGACGCCGATTTTTCCGTCTGGTAGCTTCCCGAAAAATTTTTCGCTTCTCGTAATGTTGTTACTCGGCAGAGCGCTTTGAAGCTGACGGAGCGAACATCGCTCGGCCGCTGCGGTTAGGCACCGTGTAGTTTTTTTCGCTGGTCGCGTACCTATGCAGTTGGATGAGTCGAGATTCTTCACCATGTAATCGGAGCAGGCCCGCACGACCTCGGCTAGCTGTATTCATGTCTGCCGCACCTGAACAGCTATCCTGTACGTTCCAGCATGGTATTCTCCAATTGACCTTGCCAATACACAGCACATACACGGTACATACAACTACATACATACATACACCATACACACTACAATACAACCACACAACACAAACATACTAACGCACAGCAGAGACCGGACGCCACAGCCCACGCACACGCACACGCCACGCACACCAACACGCCGAGACAGTGGCAGCACACGGCACACAGGCCGCAGCATGGCATTCATACATATCACACAACACTGACTGACACACACATATCCCACATACACACACATATACACATACCACACACAAGGGGTTCATACATACACATACATACACACTGACACACACATATACACAGACAGCACGACCCCCCCCCCCTGTGGTAGATGCAAACATGTAACCCAGGAGCAGAGTGGTGTAGAGGGCCACTAACCTACCTCTAACGTTACCTACAGCGTGACCCATGAAGACGTTATACACATGGTGAGAAGAATTTCCAACTGACGTACACATACAACAGGTAACACAATAACATATAAAGGTAACCTACAACGCGAACCATGTAGACGTTACCTACATGCTGAGGAAGTACACATACCCAGTTAAACCTCGTTTACAGGTTATTATCATGAGTCGATAGAAACATGTAGGAAATCCACCTATTCCTATACCGATCATCACAGACTTTGAAGATCATAGAGTAAACTGATGTTGCCGTATGCTACTGTTATAGCTATTCTCCTCGCTTTGTTTATACTCAGACACTAATGTGTATACTATCATACATGTTTTATAACCATGACATATCTACACTAAATATATATATAAATATATATATATATCTATAGTAAGGCTAAGGATAATCACCCGTATACATGAAGTCGATGAGCTCGCTGAAGATGGAGGGCCTGATGCAGCGTATCTCCACCTTCTCCTGCCTGCCCTCCTGCAGACTCCCGGCGAACATCGCGTGGAAGTAAGAGCTGCACGCGGACAGCATCGCGCGGTGTACGCGGAACGACGCCGTCCCAACGACGATGTCCACGTCACAGAACTGCAGCTCCAGCCTGCGTAACGAACACGGACAGACGGACGGGCGGGAGGACGGAGGGACAGATGGGAGGACAGAGAAACATGCGGGTGGAGGGGAGAGAAAAAACAGAAAGAACGTCATTTAGTGTGTGAGCTCGTAGTACGTTTGTGAAGTAAACACAGTTGTAAAGCATAGCTATATGCTATATATATATACTGTATATTACATAGCCGAAGTCAATATTTCAACCCAAAGTTAAGTGTGCTGGATTATATAGTAGGAAGCATGGACGCTAGTTCCACCTGTGAGGCCCTTCGCTTCACAACAGGAACAAGTGCAGGCCGGCCTTCGCTCCTGATGTGGAGCTATGTGAACACGCATACGCCATTTTTCTCTTTCGAGCATTTAGTAATGCTCACCTGAGTTTATTGAAAGCCAATAGCGTGTTGGTCGCATGTTCGGTGGCGTAGAAAGTCAGTTTGTCCGCTGACATGTCTCCTATATATCACGCAGGAAGACCATACACTCTGAGTATACCTAGAAGCAGGAGTAAGTAATATTATCTTACTCCTGCTAGAAGTAATAGCATATTATGTCATGTTACGTTCTTATATTTGTCTGTCGATATCTCCCTCACGGGATAGACAGTGGCAGAGCATCTGCCACAAAGCCCACAAGCTGTATGCATATGAAGTCGAGCTCTCATTCACTATTGCGCTATATAAGAACGACCAATCTGAAAACAAGTAAAAAGCAATGTACATTGGACCTATGATTGGACACATCACAGATCGCTCTCTCGTAGTTCCTAAACTGCTTACATTTTACAAGGGTACCGGTACTGTACTGGGATCATCACTGACATTAGCTCTAGTACTATAGCCCGCTTACATTAACTGCTGCTGGCGCCAGCGGCAGTTAATGTAAGCGGGCTATAGTACTAGAGCTACACTGATATTTACTCAACAAGTGCCGCGGAGTGACAGCGCTCATCCCACGTCTACTGCGGTGACTCTGTGGTGGAGTGGTGGGATTCTAGTAAACCCTGTTAGTCCCAAATATGTTCACATATGCGCCGAAACAGTGGAAGGCACAGGGATGGTATCAAGAACCTTCTCGAAGGAATGTTCGTTGGGATTGTTATGAAAGTTGCCACGAGATGACGCGTACGTTTAAGTGTCTTAAGATTAAAGATGGAAGCTCCCATCGTACGTAGTAGCAACAACTATTTGCAAGACAGAATAGGTAAGCACTCATCCATTTACCTACGCAAGCCTACAGCCTGAAATAGAGAGCTGCCACCTGTAACTAATTAACGCAGGCAAAAACTACACAGTACTATCACCACCACATGCACTGGCAGTGGCCACTGGCAGTGGCATAAGTTGCATGTAACACACTGACAGTGCAGAATGCCATAGAAATTATACAATTTAAGGAACATAAACCTTCTTCAACCAAATTTAGCTTTTGAAATTTCACTGTGACATTGTAGCCTCATACATCCAGGCATGTATAGATTCTACTAGTGTAACGACGTCTATTATACGCGTACATGAATTAGTTGAGTGGAGATAAACTGGTAGTTGTTTTAGCCATATAGTTCAGCTAGACAGCGTCGCTCAACCAGATGGGGCCCGGCTACATTGATGTTACAGGGGTTGGATAAGCAGGGTTAGGTTAGGCCGTTTCGAGAGTAGGTGTGAAATTGGGGTAGGGCTTAGTCTCTGAGAACGGGTACATGTGCGGGCAGGATGTTTGTAGGAGTTTTTGGGGGATAGTAGAGTTTGAGGGAGATTGGGTCTGGTGCTGGTCGCGAGAGGACAGTTATGGCTTTTCCTACCATGATGCTATACACCGACTATCACGAGCCTATAGGTCGAGCCGTTTAGATTTGTGCCGCAATTCTGCATTTCCTCCTTATAGGCTGAGAGGGTCTATATGTCCCCCAGGGTACTGCCGGAACGTACCCTGGTACTATCTAATATGCTGGACCGTACCTCGCCTACTCCACTAACGAGTCTAGCGAGTCGCCTACGCCTACTCCCTAACCCTATAACCCTAATCCTAACCCTAACCATATCAAATAGTGACCAGGGTACGTTCCGGCATAAACCGACCAGGCTCTCCGACTAGTTACACGGCGGTTCTCCGACTAGTTCCCTCTCGCCACGTAGTGTTACGCGAGATGGGAACTTATGGCTAGTTCCAGCAGTACCCTTGGGGACATAGACCCTGTGAGCTTAAAAGTTAAGGAGGGAATGTTCCCCCTTCCTTTACACCTCTTGACCTTTGACCTTTGACCCCCAGCTTCGACATCCCAACTCGTTTTCGGATTACCCTCCCACGTCCCGAATATCGTGACCGTACGTCGAGCCGTTTAGATGTGTGCCCAATTGTTGTCGCACGGACGGCCGGACGCACGGACGCACGGACGCACGGACAATCATGCGATTCTACAAGCTGCATCTGACTTAGTCCGCAAATGCAGACGTAAACTCCGCTTTGCTAATCTGAGGGTGCGGGTTTATCCATTACTGGGGTCTGCGTCGGCTCGGACTACATCTGACTATGTCAGATGAACTGAAAACATACAGAGGTGAAAAATCAAAGAACGTTTACAGACGATTTCATGCAAATCTAATAAAGCGACGGATGACATACATTTCACTTACCAATCATCTATTGTTGGTGTATGACCATATTTATGTAATATTATAGCTGTATTTTAACGTTCACGCACTTTATTTACCACACACTTGTACAACAACACACCATGTTTACAACGGGCGCTAGAATAAATCATTTTTCCCGATAGATGGCGGTACGTGTGTCATAATATTTGCCTCCACACGTGCACGCGCTGAAACAGGTAAGCTAAGGTAAAGTAAGCGGTTTCACAAACGCCTCAATCTTCCATAACATTATATATACAGTAAAAAAAACAGTCCAGCACAAGTATATACCTGGTTGTTGCAACTGCAGCATATAAACTTATTATACTAATGATAATATTGCTTTGAAATTGAAGATGGCTTCTCTCTCATTTACTTCATTCATATTTTGACAATTAAGACTCGGACTCAACGACAACATGCTCAATTGCCATCCATCTCAATAATACAACACAAATGACAAAAATTAGTGTAGTGATTGCTGATATGACGGTGTGTTGCAGTGTGCAATTGTAATATTTAACTATGACAGTGACCTAGTGAGTGTTCATTGACATGAACTGAATTTATTATTTGTTTTCAACAATTTGAATCACTAGGTGGCACCACTACCTAGGGATGTATTAAATAGCTAGTTGCTCAGAGCCTGCCTCAGGTTTTTTTATAAACAGCTATATGTGAGTAGCCAAATGTTTGAGCTAAACTTTATTGCAATTACTTTGAAAACTTCCATATGACCTGTCAAGTGACAGCACTATACCCAGTACACGGTACACTATCATGTGACTATGTTGACATTGTTTCGTAATTAACTTGTTTACCTTCTGGCTTCTCTTCTCTTTTATTGCTGTCTTATTCATATATTCCGCCTAGCTTCATGCACGTACTCTACATAACTGCATATTATACATATACAACATATATCTATAATCTAAGAAGAATTCAAAATAAAACAATAAAACTCACGCTTGGAAGCTTATTCGAGGGAACATAGGGAGTTGGAGGAATTTGATATTTATCATACACGCATTCACGATAAGAATGGGTGTGCATGTTTTAATCGCAGTCCGTGCTTCAGTCGTTTTTATTGCAAAGATGGAGTCCAAGCTCACGAATGACCATGAAGGAAAATAAAACCAGAAAAGAATTAACAATTAAATTGGATACATATGGTTATGTACATACACAATTTATTTAATAATATTAACAATTAATAGTAATTATTATAAGCAAAAATATATCATATGTTAATTTGTTACTACCAAACCTTTGTCGTAATATTTTTTATGTGAAAAATCCAAACAACAAGACATATAACGAGCATGTACGTAATTAGCACGAGGTATGCCACCCCAGAAGAAGCTGCCAATGTATCCATGGACATATTCACAAGTCCGGTGAGTATGTTAGCCAACAGGAAGAAGAGAAGGCCATTTCTGTTGATAGCACTGAGCAAACAGGGTTCCCTGATTGGCTGCGTATAATCTGTAAACGATAAACAAATCTCGCTTGTAATGATTTGGTTTGCAAATGAAATGGAATTTCATCACAGCATTACTCACATTTTATAGATATCGATTACTAAAGTATATATTACTGATTAAAACAAAAATCATCACAATAACCAATATCTTATTGTCACATTTTCATCAATTTCAGAGTCACAATACATCTTCCTTGAAATTTCATGAAAATTTTTTTCATTAAACTTATTTCCTTCAGGCAGAAAACAAATGTTTTCTCATACTGCGGGAACATTTCATTTCGAATTGATTAATTAATTAATTAGCCCTTTAATCACACACCTGTGCCACTGTATGGTAGCTGCCCATATGACGTAGCACATATGATTGTGAGTTCCACGATAAGGAACTCCACTAGCATTAGGCAGCAGACAAATAACTGCAAAACATACGTCAGACACTGTTGTAACAGAGACACACGCGCACGCACACACGTGCGCACACACGTGCGCACACACGTGCGCACACAGACACACACCATTAGAAGTAATGAATTTACAATTTGATTAGAGCTAATTGACTTAAACCCAAATTAAATCTACATTAAAAAAAACTACAGGTCTCGCACAATAAATCTGTACTCTAATTTTTACAACAAGTGCCGCGGAGCGACAGCGCTCATCTAACGTCTACTGCGGTGACTCTGTGGTGGAGTGGTGGGATTCTAATAAACCCTGTTAGTCCCAAATGTGTTCACATACACGCCGAAACAGTGGAATGCACAGGGATGGTATCAGGAACCTTCTCAAAGGAATGTTCGTTGGGATCGTCTATGAAAGTTGGCCGACGAATGGCGCGTACGTTTAAGTGTCCTTCACCGATTAAGATGGAAGCTCGCCCATCGTACGTAGTAGCAACAACTATTTGCAAGACAGAATAGGTAAGCACTCATCCATTTACCTACGCAAGCTACACCTGAAATAGAGAGCTGCCACCTGTAACTAATTAACGCAGGCAAACTACACAGTACTATCACACCAACAATGCACTGGCAGTGGCCACTGGCAGTGGCATAAGTTGGCATGTAACACACTGACAGTGCAGAATGCCATAGAAATTATACAATTTAAGGAAGATAAACCTTCTTCAACCAAATTTAGCTTTTGAAATTCACTGTGACATTGTAGCCTCATACATCACAGGCATGTATAGATTCTACTAGCAAACCGGCAGTCAAATTCTTTCTAAACAGACAGTAAACAAATCCATGTTTTAAACCTGCCTCTTGAGGTGCAAAAGGTTATCCGACACTTACTCTTTGCATGTCAGGCAGAAGGTACATTTTTATGGTCTTTCAATAAATGCCATAAAAATGCTAGGTCACGCTGAAACAAAAAGTTTTTCAATCGCTCCGTCAGACCAATGTCCTCAGAAAATGTCTAAAATCTGCCCTGTGCCCATTTGACCTTTGACCTGTGACCTCCAATTTCGGCCACAGTGATGGCTTTTCCTACGCACATGATTGCTATATCGGACGCGCTATGCGACGGAGCACTACAGGTCGAAGGTCCGATTAGATTTGATGGCTAGCGAGGGAGACAAATTCTTGCCCACTTTCCCATGTCCACTAATACCTTAAAGTATATAAGGAGGAGAGGAATGTTCCCGCCAATTCTTATTACACACAGCGTCTCTGTACACCTTTTGACCTTTGACCCCCAGCCCGACATCCCAACTCGTTTCGGATTACCCCCCACGTCCCGAATATCGTGACCGTACGTCGAGCCGTTTAGATTTGTGCGCCCAACTGTTGACGGACGGACGCTCGCACGGACGGACGATCATGCGATTCTACAAGCTGGCATCTGACTATGTCAGATGAGCTAAAAAAAAGCATATAATATTTATTGATTATCCTGGGCAAGTTACATGAAAATATATTCAAAATGCTGACTGATTATAAATGAGATACAGTTCGCATCATCATTTAGCATTTGGTTCTTCACTCCTCTGAGTCTCTGACAGTTCGTGTTATAGCACTTGCATTAACCAGCATACATTATTTTAGACCTGTTAAAAACGATCATTGCGAGAATTTTGCTCAGAAAAACTAAATATATGCTGAATATAATCTCACCTGACAGCGAAAATATCACTGATTACACCAACATTCAAAACACCAATTATTTTATGCAGTTATAGCATAGAAAAATTGATTTGACCACATCATACCAGCAATACATTTTTCGAGTCGCGGACTTTCAAAAATCACAAATGGCGTCTCAAACAAGCCAAACATAATTAAAAACAAAGGGGCATCTATTTTGTGTGTGATAAGTATTCTCGCTGGCTACGGCAACGAGGCGCAGCGGAGAGTGTGTGAGCGGGTGAGCACAAATCAAAAACAACTTTTGAAGACTAATATTTATGAGGTTGCAACTTACACTCCTATTTGTGTTAGTACTGTTAGCGCTACTAATTACTATGCACCTCTGTGTTTACACTCTGCCAAAAATATCTCCGTGCAATTTTTGCATTACTGCACCGTTGTTTGACGTCTCGCGGTACCGCGAGAAAGTGCGAGACATGACAGCGAAAATCAACAAGAGAACGCAAATTGTAATCGTGCATGATTTTGTCTTTGCATGAGGTTCTAAGACATTTTATTGTTATTTGAAACAATTACTGTTACTCAAGCAACAACGGTAGGCATCATGAGAGTAAGAATAAACACTAAAAAACGCTGAAAAAAACTCGAAATGATCGCTTTAATCGACCCATCGACTCTACTGATTAGAAATACCGCTTAATCTATTCCCATGTCTCATCGCAGGAAGACGAGCGAACACTTACGGTCCACACGACGAACGCGAGGTTGGCCATCTTTCTCGACACCGCCTCGACCTCCCCGCTCAGCACCTGCATGCAGACGTACAGCACGGCAGTGACGATGTTCAGCTGAATCAGCAGCACGACAAAGTCTCGCAGGTACTGTCTGCAGACAAACAAAACACTCTCGTAAGGACCAACAACCTCCGCTACAAACGGTCTGATAACTACTGCAGTCGTATGTGAATACAAGGGTGTCACTCAAGGGTGATGCCAGAAATGTTCTTTATCGACGGGTGATGGTTTTATAGAGGTAGGTTCACTATATAGTCGCCGCTCGAGTAAAACGCCAAGAGTCCTTCATTGATAGGTATACCCATTCTATAGAAGTGTGCTCTAAAACAGGTTTGACTGTAGCACATTAGCACATTACACTAATAATATAGACATTAAAATCGGATTTGGTTATAATAAAATATAACCACATCTCAGGGGTCGAAATTAGAGTTTTATTTTGGTATCCATTCGGGATACCAGGTATTGAAATCTGGTATCCCCCCCTAAAAAGCTCCCATCTTTCGGATAGTAATTTTTAAAATGTTGGTATCCAAAATGTTGAAATTTAATAGCATTATATATAGCAGCTATAGTATATAATAGCATTTGAAAATTATTAATATGTAATGTAATTATTATATAAAAACATGAAAACAGATTCACAGATATGCACAGACAAGCTTATGAACGCAGTCAAATAGAACAGCAGATGACCATGTTAAGGAATGGTGCAGTACAAACAGGCACAGAGTCTGCTGCAGTTTGCAATCGCTGTTGCTAGCTCTATCACAAAATAGTATTTGTCCTCAAGTCACATGAAAATAATACATAGGCAGCAGCATTGACTCACTGACTATAATAACACAACTATCATAACATATTAAATCACACAGGACAAATGTATCAGCATTAATATATAAACTAGACAGAGGGCACTCACGGAGAGTGCATACCTCCGCCAGCGACATACGCCATTCGCCATACGACTGAGGAACACACGAATAACCCACGATATACGCCAACGTACATGTATGCTCGCTCGCCGCTCAGTCAGCCGCAGCCGGCTGTGGCTGGCTCGCTCGCTGACGCGCTAATATCGATCGCGCGAACACACACACCAACACACGAACGCACAGACCCGAATACATAACAAGTTTGCAATCGCTGTTGCAGCTCTATCACAAAATAGTATTTGTACTCAAGTCACATGAAAATAATACATAGGCAGCAGCATTGACTCACTGACTATAATAACACAACTATCATAACATATTAAATCACACAGGACAAATGTATCAGCATTAATATATAAAAAATATGAAAACTTGTTTAAAGATATGCACAGACCGGTTTATCGATGCAGAGTCAAATAGAACAGTAGACTACAGTAGCTCTAGAACTATAGCCCCCCCCGCTCCGCCGCAGGGAGGAGCTCCTCCTGCGCTCCTGCGGCGGAGCGGAGGGCTACTGCTCTAGAGCTAACTCTACAGCTAATATAGCCATCAAAACCACAATATGCACTACTGGCATTGGACTCAGATTCTGAGTCATCAGAATCTACATATTCAGCATTCTGGTCTTCTTCTAATGCACGTTTTATCCAGACATTTTGACTTGGTCGCCAAGTACGAACTGCTGAACTATTCCACAGATGTATTGCTGGGTCAGGGTTGTAGTATTTAATTTCTGAACTTTCACTGTCTAATTTTATACGAATTATGGTAATTACTGAATGAAAAACAACAGGTCTGTGAGTGTGGTTAAAAAACAGGAACAAATCTGAAGCAGCAGAGAGCGAAGCGCAGCCCTCTCCACAATGCACGCAATACCAGTGCTCAGCATATACTCCCGCGCCTAATCGTTAGTGGGCTGAGTGCATTCTCGAGCGGCAAAACACTCGGGTATCCTACCAGTACCATAGCCGCGAGCGATGTACCGATCGCCTGATATTGTAGTTCACTCCCTGTGAGCGGTATTTAATAACTACATCATTAAAGGTATATATTGCGAATAAAATTCACCTCATGTCATAAAATTGCCAAATGTTTTGCCAAATGTTGCTCGCGTTCATTTTACACACGCCTCCACACTACACTGCAGACGGATTGTCTAGCCGCATTGTCTGGTTAGCTTGATACAATGTATACACATGACATTTGTGGTTATCAACATCGGCCACGCTTGCGCTTGCAAATATGCTATGCCTGCTGTAAAATTGCAAAATTATTGGGTCAAGTGGATAACGCTAGTGGATAACGCTAGTGTGGCATAGTAAGGGTGCGCACTCGCGCTCTCCCACTCTGCGCGCACTCGCTCAGATGCGCTGCCGTATAAAGTTGATAACTCAACAACCACTATCCCGATTTTGACGATTTTTTTTTTACTATCCCGGCGGTATACCAAGCATTTAAATCTGGTATCCAACACAAGAATCTAGTATCCCCTGGATATCGGGATACCGCTAATTTCGACCCCTGCATCTAGAATGGCACATAGCAGTAATTGCACTGGAGGATTGTAACATAGATGACAAAGACAATTTATATCTTATACATTACTGTTAGTAATGTACACACTGTCGAACATGCATTAATCTGCATAATATTAAATTACCATATGGTGAATATCGGAATTCCCTGTAATTCAGGCTGGTTGTTGTCTACAGAGATAGATGGTAGCAGCATGTGCAGACGTGCAACCTGTAGCTATAGCTTGATTTAACGTATGACAGAGTATGCACTTGCCTGGGTTTCATAAGGATCCTACCCAACTGTACGCCGGCAAAGTACAGTGCGATGTAGCCAATGCACGAGACCAGTCCCTCCCTGTAATAGACAGAAAAGATCAGGTGTGTTTTTGAAACGCCACACAGTAGAGATGATCCCATTGGTGTAGGTCGCTAGTGTGTATACAGCTCTGTAACATGCTGTGTTCGTGGTAGCATTAATCATACATAAACGATGCATTTTAATTAGTGGAATAGAGGTCTGTGGCGGTGTTCCACTGATTTAGTTTAGATTTTTCTTAAACTTAAAAACCAATGAAATTTATTTGTAATTTAAAATTTAAAATCAAGATAATGAGTTCAGATTCAATGCTCAATTTTGAACGATTGCTAAGTTTTCGCAGCATTACTAGAACGATCTAGACTCATGACGTTTAGACGATCTAGACGTTTAAACTCATGTAAGACATTAAGACAATTACCTGTTTGCATCAATCAGGGTTTCTCTGCTATCTGTCCCATCACTTCCATACTTTAAGAAATCCGCTAGGCCACAATTTATCAGCAAGTACTGATATAATACACTAAGAACCAATGCGAAAATCCCACTCATTTTAGGGGGTAGTATGAGGAATATTCCTGCACATGCAATCTGAAACCAGAACACATAAATCATTTAGTATATTTGCACACAAAAATTGAATTACATTTTTGAAAAACTACACATATATTGTGAAACAATTAACATAGATAAGTACTCTTTTTTTTTTATCCCACTTGAATAATTTGCAGCACTTTCGGTAATTTTCCAGTGCAATTCTCTACGTACCAGCAATATATCATGACATTCTTTCACATTCTCTACTTTTTTTCACGACAGACAGACAGGCTTAATTTTTTCGCATAGATCTACCTTGACAACCGAAAGCGTGAGAAAAAAATTCCAGTGCACTCCATACTCGGTGACGTGCTCGTGGTAGCCGATGGTCTTTATGGCTATTAGTCGGGCAAGCCCCAGCATCAGTAACGGAATGCTAGACTTTGCTGCTTTCACTAAAGAAGCACATGGGCTGCCCCTGTAATAAAAACAAAACAAAATATCCTTACAGAGATAATATTAACAGGATCACACATCACGAAAACATTTCGATTAAGTCAACAATTCAAGCAATAAAATTCTTATATAAATGTATTTTTTAACAAAAAGAGCCAGCATGAATGATGGACAACAAAGTGACTATAGATGCTGAAATATTGAGATTGAATTCGTCTACCTCTTAGCTGGCCTTGCTACTTCAGTCGCCTCTGAGCACACGATTGCGTGGCTGATGATGAAACCACCAACACCGTGGTCCATCAGTCCTGTACCATACACCTCGGTCTTGCCAAAACGCCCTGGGAAAATGGCAAAGTCATATGCCAGAATGGCAATGGCACTGCCAAGGTTGACGGCAGCTCTGGACCAACAGATGTAGGCTCGCCTTCCCTATAGAGGGGATATTATATATTATTTAAATCGCTCAGTAGTTGTGAACAATTATGAATGGCTACACAAAACCAAAACCCATTGTCAGTTTTCGAGAGCCTACAAGTTTGTTTAGCATCTCAAAAAAAGCACCATTTTCAAGTTAAAAAACAGCAAGAAACAATCAAACGAACCCGGGAATAACCACGCAGCTTCTAGCACACGCAAACACATCATAGCGGACCTTCATGTCCAAGAGCATCATGTGTTTCCATCGCGGCGTCACTTCCGACTTCGCTCGCTCCTTCCGGCCGTCTCCCCGGTCACGCCTCTCCGTTCTGCGACTCACCACGGCGTCCCCAAACACGAGCAGGCCGACGCACGCACACACAAACGACGTCAGCGCTCCTTCCAGGTGGTCGGCAAACATCGTGCAGCACAGGAGAGGTGGCAGCACCAGGCAGAAGAATGCCACCGCGAATCTGACGCTGCGAACGTAGACGCTCAGATGAGATGACCGTATAAACGATCGCAGGTAATCACATACACGGAGACTAGCTGTAAGCCGGGCCACGCTGTTTTAGTAACGGGAACTTATCTGTCCAACAGGTGGTTAGTCCTCATATGTTAATGCTAGAAAATACTCGTGACTCTAAAAGACTAGAACGAAAGTTATACCAAATTTAACAAAATTTTTCAAAGAATTCAATGTCCAATTTACATTTACATGTGAGATAAGTCACCTAAAATTTAAAAGCGGTCTATTTTTATTACGCAGTTTACCTTGTCTGGATAGTTGTGTTGACTCTGCTACCATTGCAGAACCAGGGGATTAACAATGCACAAAGCAGCGTTCCAATGGGAACCGATGCAAATACGAGATTATTTTCGTATACGGTTGTCCCATTGCGTTTGCTCACGTATTCCTCACGCAGCTTCGTGTAACTGGCGTTCCCAAACGTCGACATCTAGAGAGATATGTTTATTTAGCACCACCTTATGCAATCAATAGGCTCAATACACCCCTCGTACAAATTTAATATAGATGGAAATGCCAATGGCAATGCCAATGCAGTGGGGTAAGACTAATCCCCGGGCACTCTGTGAGGGTGAGCCCACAGTGTAGGGGTGGTCGGGTAGGGTAGGCCTAACTCTAACCTAGCTCTAGTACTATAGCCCGCTTACATTAACTGCTGCCAGCGGCAGTTAATGTAAGCGGGCTATAGTACTAGAGCTAACTCTAACCCTAACCCTAATCCTAACCTAACAGAGTGCCCGGACAGAGTGCTCGGGGAGTAGTCTTTTCCAATGCAGGGGTCTAGTGGTAGTGCGAGTGTTTGCGCCTACGAGTCCTACGTACGAGTCCGTAACGTAATACGAGTACATAGTACGAGTAAGTATAGCTCTAGTACTAGAGCCCGCGTACAGTTGCCGCTGGCTATAGTATGTAAGCCAGCGGCAGTTAATGTAAGCGGGCTATAGTACTAGCTACTACTAGAGCTGGAGTACCGTTAGACCGAATAATTCTGTCCCATATAAGGCCAAACAAAAAAATAGGTGTGTTTCCGGTCGACCGACTGTCCCTAGATTATTAGGGCCGACCCAAAAAAAATTTTCAAAAAAAAAAGAAAAGATTTTTTATTTGAAATCTGACAGACAAAACTTGAGATTTTTTACTACAAACACGTTCTGGACTTGCTTACTAACTTATCCCTACCTATACACCACTTTATAGCATGCATCAGAGTGATATTAGGAACCGAAGAATAAAAAAATAAAAAATAAAAAATATAAAAAATCCCTACCTACCTACCCTACTTTTGTTTTCGATGCAATAGGAATTTTTTGTTTGGCCTAACCTTTTTTATATTTTGGTGAGGGTTATTGGGACAGAATGGGGCTCATTGAAATTTCGTGAGATCGCATGCAAAATGCATGCGCTGCAGACGCTCGCACGGACGGACGATCATGCGATTCTACAAGCTGCATCTGACTATGTCAGATGAGCTAAAAAAGCATATAATATTTATTGATTTATCCTGGGCAAGTTACATGAAAATATATTCAAAAATGTGACTGATTATAAAATGAGATACAGTTCGATCATCATTTAGCACTTTGTTCTTCACTCCTCTGAGTCTCTGACAGTTCGTGTTATAGCACTTGCATTAACCAGCATACATTATTTTAGACCTGTTAAAACGATCATTGCGAGAATTTTGCTCAGAAAAACTAAATATAGCTGAATATAATCTCACCTGACAGCGAAAATATCACTGATTACACCAACATTCAAAACACCAATATTTTATGCAGTTATAGCATAGAAAAATTGATTTGACCACATCATACCAGCAATACATTTTTTCGAGTCCGGACTTTCAAAAATCACAAATGGCGTCTCAAACAAGCAAACATAATTAAAACAAAGGGGCATCTATTTGTGTGTGATAAGTATTCTCGCTGGCCGTACGCAACGAGGCGCAGCGGAGAGTGTGTGAGCGGGTGAGCACAAATCAAACAACTTTTGAAGACTAATATTTATGAGGTTGCAACTTACACTCCTATTTGTGTTAGTACTGTTACGCTACTAATTACTATGCACCTCTGTGTTTACATCTGACCAAAAATATCTCCGGTGCAATTTTTGCATTACTGCACCCTTGTTGACGTCTCGCGGTACCGCGAGAAAGTGCGAGACATGACAGCGAAAATCAACAAGAGAACGCAAAATTGTAATCTTGCATGATTTAGTCTTTGCATGAGCTTCTAACACATTTTATTGTTATTTGAAACAATT